ATCATTCGATCGTTACTACCCACGATGAGTATATCATCCACATATAAACAAAGAATGACATAACCGTCTATCGTTTCCTTAACGTAGACACACTTGTCACTTTCGTTTATATTGAACCCATTGGTTAACATCGCATGGTCAAACTTCTCGTGCCACTGCTTAGGCGCTTGTTTTAAACCATATAACGATTTAACCAATTTACAGACTTTCTTTTCTTGGCCCGGAACCGCAAAACCCTCAGGTTGTTCCATATAGATTTCTTCATCTAACTCGCCATTCAAGAAAGCTGTTTTCACATCCATTTGATGAACTTCCAAATTCCGCAGTGCGGCTATGGCAAGTATCATCCTTATGGAATTTATTCTCGTTACAGGAGAATATGTGTCGAAGTAATCAAGGCCCTCGCGTTGCCTGTAACCCTTAATTACAAGCCTAGCCTTATACTTCTCAATGGAACCATCAGGTTTCAACTTCCGTCTAAAGACCCACTTGGATCCCAAGGGCTTACTACCCGGAGGAAGATCAACCAGTTCCCAAGTGTGATTCTGTAGGATAGAATCCACTTCACTCTTTATAGCCTCTTTCCACATTGGTCCTTCCGTAGAAGTCACAGCTTCTACATACGTTTGAGGCTCGTTTTCTAACAAACATGTCAGAAAATCTGGTTCATTTTCTAGTAAACAAGTTATAATGTGCATATCACATTCTAACATGTACGTCAGAAAATCTGGACCAAAGGATTTTTCAATCCTAACTCGCTTGCTACGTCTAGCTTCGAGCTCGGGTTCTATTTCAAACCCTCCACTGCCGTTATCCACAGCCTCGTCGAATGCTCGTTTCGACGTACTAGGTCCCTCACTGGACCTACACGGAAATACATCTTCAAAGAATGATGCATTCCTTGATTCAATTATCGTGTTCTTATGTACGTCCGGATTATGGGACTCGTGTACTAAGAACCGATATGCACTACTGTTATGTGCATAGCCAATAAAGATACAGTCCACCGTTTTAGGACCTATCTTTATTTTCTTAGGTGTTGGCACCAAAACTTTGGCAAGACACCCCCACACTTTCAAGTACTGGTAGGAAGGTTTCCTACCGTTCCACAGCTCATAAGGAGTCTTATCGAGCTTCTTGCGGGGAACCTTATTTAAAAGGTAGTTACTTGTCAAAATCGCCTCATCCCACATACTTTGAGGTAGGCCCGAACTTATCAACATCGCATTCATCATCTCTTTCAATGTGCGATTTTTCCGTTCGGCAACACCGTTCGATTGAGGTGCGTAAGGTGCCGTACGCTCGTGTATGATACCTACACTTGCACAGAAGTCACCAATAGGTGCTTCGTACTCACCACCTCGATCGCTTCTAACCTTCTTAATCCTCCGATTAAGTTGGTTTTCCACTTCATTCTTATAAAGAATGAATTTATCGACGGCCTCGTCTTTGCTCTTAAGCAAATACACATAGCATTATCGTGTGCTATCATCGATAAACGTGATAAAATATTTATTACCACCGCGCGATTGTATTGATCTAAAATCACATACATCGCTATGAACCAACTCAAGTGGTTCCGTTTTCCTTTCAATCGATTTAAAAGGAATTTTTGTTTGTTTTGCCTCAACACAAATCTCACATTTGTGCTTATCAACTTGAAATGTAGGAATATGGTCCAAGTTAATTAATCTACGTATAGAATTAAAATTAACATGACCCAGTCTACCGTGCCACAAGCACGAAGACTCAAGTAAGTAGGCTGAATTAATAATACTCTTATTAATCACAGTTATTGCATCGAGCTTAAAAAGCCCATCTAGCACATAACCCTTGCCTACGTACGTTCCTGATTTCGACAAAACAACCTTATCTGACTCAAACACTAACCGGAAGCCATTCTTGTTCAACAATGAACCAGAAACTAAGTTCTTCCGTAGCTCCGGTACGTACAAGACGTTGTTCAGAGTCAGCTCTTTCCCAGAGGTCATTCTGAGAATTACTTTGCCCATGCCTACCACAGTAGACTGAGCAGAGTTTCCCATCCATACCTTCCCATAATTAGTCGTCTCGAAGGTAGTAAACAACTTACGGTTGGAACACATATGTCGGGTCGCACCCGTATCAATGAACCATTCCGTTTGGTTCGAACCAACCAGGTTTACCTCGGTCACCATTGCCGAGAGGATGATTTCGGACTCATTCTGATTGACCCGCACCACGTTAGATTCAGAATTACAATTCTTCCTCTTAAGTGCTTTACAATCAGCCCACTTGTGACCCACAATGCCACAATTGAAGCATTTTCCGTAGAATTGCTTCTTGAAGTCCTTTCTGCCCAAAGGCAACAAATGGATACTAGGTTCCACTTGAAAGGCTTCACTCACGATCGTTCCTTCATCAACTTGACTTAGGACGATCCCGGAATCCACCATCTTGTATTCAAGTAATCGGCTAACGACAAACATTTTTGCCTTAGCGTTATCACTCTTATACTTTAGGTCCAAAGATTCGCACAACGAGTCACACAAACCATTCAAAACATAGTTTAGGCATAGGAAAACCAAATATTTCCAAATCCGTACTATGCTAACAGTTTGAGCGTTAGACTCGTGTTCCTTTCCACTAGGAACCATCTCGGTCAAGAACCATGACATGCCGAGAATTATTAGGTTGTACAACATTTTAAGTTGCAACCCTTCGAAATTCAACATCTTGAATTTCCATGGTCTTTCGACCAATCCACAAGGTACCGTCCCATGTACCTTCATCGTAGGGATATACCCTTTGATGCCACCACCGGTCTCCGAACCAAAGTTCACCGGGGTTTCGGATTGTGCAACTACGTTGCCGATCCGACCAATTGAATGTGCACCATGAGCAGCATTCACGGTTCCACCACTCGTGGAATCCATCGATTTAATCACCAAAAAAAAAATTAGTCGGTTTTAAGATTGTTGGAAATTGGTGAATAAATCGATACACAAAAATATATATATATAATATATATTTGTCCCAAAAAAATGGAATTTAATTTATAGAAAATTAATTCCAACCAATTTTGGTACGAAACCAAAATTACATATATATACAACGTATATATATTAACCAAAAAGGGATTTATTTTATCAAAATAATCCCACCACAACTAGTACGAAACTAGTACAAGGATTTAATCTATCCGAGATTAATCCTACCACTTGGTCCGAAACCAAGAACAAAAAATAAGCAAGAACGGGTTTCTAACCTGAGGTTTCAACCCAACGCGAAGAAACAAGAAGAAGCAGAGGAAGCCCGAGTCGTGTGTACACACACTCTCCTTAAAACCGATTCGCCACCTCCCGAGGGTGCTAGGATCGTTGTGGCGTCAGTCTCCCAGGATAAAACGGACTACGACTTTGGCGTTCGAGCACTCCAACCCAAAGCCCGGCGAACTAGAACACAAGTTGAGCACTCCGATGTTTTATGGAAGATGTTTGGCAGAATTTCTTTTCTTTTGTAAACTGGATGAGAGTGGAGAGAAAACAAAACAGTTTTGGTTGATTCAAAACTCACATGTAAACATTCTGCCAACCACCAAGTTATTTGTAGGAGAAGGGAATTAAAGCATATTCATGGCCATTAACCAACATTAATCCAATTAAAAAAAATTGAATTAAAACGTTTGAAACGGTCGTAATTATTATCGAAATAATTCCAACGGTCACGAACTTAATACGCGATTAATTCGTACCGACCACAACGACCCGTTTCAAAATATCTGAGTGACAGAGAAGTCCGTACAAACCCGAAAGTTTAACGAATTGGGACCGAAACCACACCCGAGTGGTCCGCAAGCACCGAAATGGTGTAGCACGAATCAATGCATATAGCATTGACTCGTGCTAGAAGCACCAAATTGGTGCTGCACGAGAGCTCACACGAGAGGAGCTAAACTCCATTTCACTAATTAAGCCTACTAAGGCTTAATACATTCGTCCATGCATCATCACAGCACGAATGCATCCCAATTCAATTAAGCTTTTCAAGCTTAATTACACTTAAGCTTCCAACCAACTTTCGTGCAAACGAAAGTTATTAAAATGCTAATTTCCAATTAGCATTTAAACTTAAGTTTTTGACTTCTCTCAAATAGGTTCACTTTGAGAATCAATTTCTCATTCACCTATTATCCATTTTGAGCGTACATTATATCAAATTCTTCGTCTCACTACGAAGAACCCGAATCCACTTTAACCCGACCCAAATCGGAAGTGGACCCACATATATTTGCACCACAAAATAATCACTCAAAATGCCATTTTTAGCTAAAAATTCCAACAGTCTTGAGACATTGATCAGTTGTGGTGTGTTATATAGACAATGAAGGATTTAAAATATATATATATATATATTTTTTGGGATTGTGATGATTGAAAGACAGTTATGCCTGTTAAGGTATATTTCTCTTAATGGCATGATGAGATATCATGCCCGGATGTTATATTAAATATATTTATGAAATCAATTTTATATGTTACATGGTTTCAGTTGTATAACTCAATTAAATTGAGTTTGGAGCTGAATTATGGGTAATTCAGGGTAATGTGTTATATTTTGTTTGTTATGCTCTTTTCTCCTATTTCACAGGTAGTGGAACACATATACCGTGCAAGAGGAAACACACCAAACTTATTGGAGCATGCATCTATTATACATGACAAGGTAGTGGAACACATATACCATGCAAAAGGAAACACACCAAATTGATTGGAGCATGCATCTATTATATCAATGAAATATTTTTTTTATTTAAAAAAAAAAAACCATAATATTATGACATTCTAATAGTAATATTTGTCGGTATAAATTTTTTAGGGCGGACAACGATAAAGTGAATCTACATGTTGTGGTCGTTCATGATATTAAGGAGGTTTTAGATTATAATAGTGTTTTGGTGAAGTCATTCCGTATGGCCGGCTAAGTCATTTATTGATTCTAATCCACAAGCTCAAATTAAAATGAGGCTAATAGGTAGGAGGACTACAGATGCAAGGACTTATACATTACCAACTGCATCAGAGGTTGCTGCTCTCATTGTTGGAAATTTAGACCCTATAATGGGTGAACGTGACATTTTGGTAGAGTCTAAGTCTGGAGTTTTGAAACGAATAAGTGAATTAAATCAATCATACTTACCATTGCAATACCCAATTTTATTCACATATGGTGAGGATGGATTCAGGGGGGATATACATTTTTCAACACATGTTAGTAACCAACATTTTGCAAGAAAAAGTGTATCTCAAAGGGAGTACTTTGCGTTCCGTATTCATGAAATGTTAAATGAGATCTCAACTTTAATGTATGCTAGGAGGTTATTCCAACAATTCTTGGTGGATGCGTACACGATGGTTGAATCTTCTAGGCTTATTTATATAAGGTCAAATCAAAAAGCTTTGAGATGTGAGGCATATAAAGGTCTTTCAGATGCCTTGACGTGAGGTGAAGTTGAACCTAGCTCCCAAGGGAAAAGAATAATCTTACCATCAAATTTTACAGGCAGAGCAAGGTACATGATACAAATTAAAACTACTAAGATGCCATGACTATTTATTAGTTTATAGGTTATCCAAACCTATTCATTACATTTACATGTAATTCTAAATGGCTGAGATACAACGCTATCTTGAAAACTTATTGTCCGATTAATTTCAGTATTTATTGTGTACCATTTACATGTTCATTTTTTATTTGTTCAATTTGCAAAATAAAAATAAAAATAAAAATATTCTGAAAATATTAAATTCAATCTTAATTATTTAACACAATTGAACAATAAATTTAACAATATTTATCCCGTGCATCGCACAAGTACTATACTAGTACGCTTAGTTGCAAAATTTTATAAAGCATTCTCTTTTTTTAGTGTTTTTTTAGTCATATTAATTGAAAAGGATTGGGATATGGAGTGTACTGTCCTAATAGCCATAAATATTTTTCAGAAAGTAATTGTAATAATGTTCTTGTCGGTGCTTCCCACCTTAACAAGCTTTGCGGAAGCTTGTTGGTCTTGATACGTTTTATTGGGACAATATATGTTCATTGTCTCTTTTTGTGTATCCCTAAGATTCTTGCTACAACCGTCTCACCAGAATACAAGGACGAGTGGTTTTGGAGAAATGATGTGCAAGGCAAATACAATGTGCGACACGACTATCGATTGTTGACGTCGGCAAGCTGGAATGGTGATTCACAATCGCAATTTAAAGAATGGTCTAAGCTTTGGAAATTGCGAATCCCCCAAAAGTCAAGAATTTTCTTTGGATGTGCATGAGAAACGTACTTCCGATCCGGTGCGAGAAAATCTGAAATCTAAACATGTTTGGGTGGGTGGTGGATGCCCTTTTTGCTCAAGTGACTATGAAACAATTGATCATCTGTTCTGTGACTGTAATGTGGCTAAACAAGTGTGAGGATTGGCGCTGTCCCTGAATAATATGCTTTGTACCTTACAGGTGGGTAAGTTGATAAAGGCAGCAGCGCAGCTAGATTGTGGATTATCTGGACTGCACGTAATGAGCTTATTTGGAGAAATGCAGCACCCATAATGGACTCTATGAGAAGCCTTGACTACGTCGTGGATGCAGTTGTGTAACGAGGTAAGCATAGTTCAACCTTCTGCTGTTTTGAACTCAACGAACTGATCTCCACCTCCTACAAACTACATTATTTAATGTGGACGTAGCTACTTTTGGTAATGGTGTCGGTTTTGGGCAGTGTTACGCGACTCCGATGGAAGGTTTGTGGCAGCATGTAGTGCGAAGTTTGATTGTAGAAACGACCCCTATATGGCTGAATCAATGGCGGTCAAGGAGGCACTAACGTGGCTCAAGTCTCACCATTTCAATAATATTATTTTAGAATCCGATTGCCTCAATTTTTGCTCAGCTTTCAATTCTTGTAATTTGAACCTCTCCTAAGCTGGTTTGATTATTAAGCAATGCTGTAAGATTGCTACTGACATTGAGAACGTGTGTGTTCGCCATGTCAATAGGTCAGCGAATTATGTTGCCCACGTGTTAGCACAGACATTTGGTTCTTTGTCTGACTTTGGATCGTGGTTCACTGAGCCACCGGCCTGCATTTCATTGTTGGTTGATTGTTAATGAATCTATCTCTTTATCTTTCAAAAAAACTAACTAAATGAAATTCTGATATCCTGATACTACCTTTTGATGCCTAAACCCTTAACATCTAATTGTCATTCTACTATTTGTACTTGAGAAAAGGGTCAAATAAACCCCTAAACTTTACCTAAAAACTCAATTAAGTCCCTAAACTTTTAAAAAGTACAATTACACTTTTTAACATGTTAAATTGAGTCAATAAAATATAAACTAGTAAATGACCTGCTATTCCAGGCCATTTCTGTATTCCAGCAAAATTTCGGCAACCGGCCTCTTCGGTCGCCAACTATCAGAGAAGGCGTCCTTCCCCAGCGGAAGGCGACAAATTGTCAGAAGATTTAAGCTTTACCCAACATTAGAATTTAAGAACGTTCTTATTTAATGAATGTTTTTTCATTATAAAAAGTAAAAACATGGAAATTGACTGTGTGAAGCGTCCATGGAAAACTGTGGAAGAAGATTCAACGGCTTAGCTGAAGTTTATGGGATTAAAGAAAGTTATAATCTTTGAAATTCAACGCGTTTCTTCCAATATTTTGGTTTCCGCCGTCCGCGACTTCAAATTCCTCCATTAATATAATGCTTAAATTCAAAAGAATTCTTAATCCAATTGTTAATCTCTGCGTTTAATCTAATTCAATTCATCGATCGTAAAACTAGAACCAGGGATGAGTAGATTCTGTTATGTCGGTTTCATGTGGGGTGGGAAGAGTGGTGGTGGTGGGCTGCATGCGGTAGGGTTGGCGGCGGTGCACTTACATCAGCGGCGATGATAGTGCTTCGTGGCCGGAAGCTACCGTCAAGGAATTCGAGCCAGTTCCCCGTCTCTGTCGTACAGTTCTCGTTAACTACGTGGATGATCTCCGGAACCCGAAGTTTTCTCCCGATGGCGGTTACGGCCAACTGGCCACTGGAATTTCGCCGGAATACAGAAATGACATACAATAGCAGGTCATTTATGAGTTGTTAGGCTTCATTGACTCCATTTAATATGTTAAAGGGTGTAATTGTACTTTTTAAAAATTTAATGATCTAATTGACTTTTCAAGTGAAGTTTAGAGACTTATTTGATCCTTTTCCCTTTGTATTTTTATGTGATTTTAGATCAATATAAATGTTTTTTTTCCCTTTTACTCACCGTATTTAATATAATTGTGCTAAGTAATAAACATTTTATAATGTAGAATACCTAAGTATAAGTTGGCTTTATTATGACATGCAGTATTTGTTAACTACGAATGCATTCGTATCTATATGCCTATTAGCCTATATAGTAATTCCATATCAGAGATAATACGTAGTGCCTACTTAAAAATATTTATGATGTACTCTCTTTAGATTAAGAAGAAACAAGAAACAAGAAACAATAATAATGACAGAAAATAAAAGAAGGTAAAATTTACATAGTTTGGCAATGTGCATACGTCTACGGAAGTAAAACTATTACTTTTTTCATAGTTATGGTGATAGTGGTGATACAACCATATATTTATAGGCATCTGATCCCTTTACAATGGGTACACCTGCTTCACTCATATTCCTAGTATGAGACAAACTCATATTCATAACCCATATATGAGACAAACACAACAATCTCCACCTTGTCGAATATGCTGTTGTTGAATATGCTCTTTAGGAGAAAAGATAACTCAACAAATCTCCACCTTGGCGAATATGCCCTTTAGGAGAAAATACTTATTTAACTATCTCTACCTTCACAAATATGCCCTTTAGGAGAAAAGACTTATCTAGCATATACACATTGGTAGGAACAACCATGCTCATCTCAACTAGCCAGCCACATGCATCACGCAGCATCAAACATTTCACATTGCATGTACACGAACCACTTTGTCCCTAAGTCATTCGTCCCTCAGCCGTTGACTTGTTATACCAGCCGCGACTCATGCTAACTGTCCCGTTCAGCTGACCTCCTGCATTTGGCCCATACCAGGTCCATGTCCCCTCCTAGTATCCACGCTGCCCCTAACACAACAGCGCCCCTGCAAAGTCACACTAAACCCGTGTGCCTTTCCCAATGCTCCACTGACCAGTCCACTGGCTAGCAACACGCACCACGCAGCATCAAACGTTTCCCTGTGCATGTTCACGAACTACTTTGTCCTAAGAAATTCGTCATACTAGTCGTGACTCACGCCAAGCCCGGCCATGTCCGCGACCCCTCCTGGTATCCGCGCTGCCAAACACTACAGCGCCCCTCACCACCTTCTCATCTAGCATCTAGAAACACCCAACAAATCCAAACAATGTTCGATCTTGTCACTAGTTACCGCTAGAACATCACCTTCACAATAATAAGAGTCATTAGCATGTATCCCACCCATAGCTTCCTGCTTCTTCAACTCCCCCAAATCAGCCTCTTCCAGATTTGCTGGTTTTTCCGCCTTCAAAGTTTTCAGAAGACCTTGATGTGCCAACAAATCCATTACCCTAGACTGCCATAACCCAAAATTCCATGTACTATCAAACTTTGATACCTCGAATTTTGTACTTGAACTGACCATCTCAACAGTGCTCTGATACCAATTTGTTGAGATTAACAAGAAACAAGAAACAATAATAATAATGGTAGAAAGTAAAAGAAGGCAAGACTTACGTGGTTCGGCAATGTGCCTACGTCCACGGGAGTGAAACTATTACTTTATTCATAGTTATGGTGATAGTGGTGATACAACCCCTTAGGGATACAACCATATATTTATAGGCATCTAATCATGTACAATGAATATACCCGCTTCACTCCTATTCCTAGTATGAGACAATCATATTCCTAATTCATATATGAGACAAACACATCATACTCCTATTCTGAAATTAACTTTGTGCATGATGAAACTAACTAATTAAAATGAAAGGCAAATGATGATACTAGTTGCCTAAACCATAAACATCTACTTGTCATTTTACTATTTGTACTTTAATGTGATTGAAAATCAATATAAATGTTACTTTGTTCTTTTTTCCCCTTTTACTCACAGTATTCATTCATGTATAGTAATGTGTGTTTTCTTTTTAATCTACAAAACCTAAGTATAAGAGTTGACATTAACATGCTATACAATAATTGTTATATGTGATTGCATTCCTTTTTTTTTTTTTTTTTTTTTTTTTTTTTTTTTTTTTTTTGGTGAGGTGATTGCATTCCTATTTATATGTCTATATATATTAATTACTTGTTTATCCGTGATAATAAGTACTGCCTACTATCACGATATTTTTCTTTTTTAGAAAAATATATGTTCTATGACTCTTTTTGCACTAGAAATTGTGGGTCCGTTTACTTCAAGAAACTA